ATCTCCAGAAATCAATTTAAAAGGTAAAAAAATAATTGCTGATGTAATATTTTCCCTATAATTATTACAAAAACACAAAATAGTATAAATAAGTGTTTGTATTTGTGTACAAGCTGTTTAGGTTGTCAAAAAGCCTGTGTTTTTAGGGTTATTAACAAAGTTCGTGTACTCAGACCAGTAATGCTGTATTTGGGGTCACAAGTTTTTGCCATGAATATTTTTTTGGGTCATAAGTTAAAAAGTTTGGGAACCACTGCGCTAAGCGACAGTGACCAAAGTAGAACATTTTTCAACTTTCATATGTCGCGTCTCAAGCTCGCGTGTGCACGTCTACGTGTACGAGCGCAAATTTTCACATACACTGTTTTCGCCGGTCGCTTAGCTGGAGGAGGGCAAGCGATTGTCGCCTCACCGCACAGCCTCCATAGGAAATGAATGGAGAGCGAGCGACGTCACCTCCCGTGTGTCGAGCCCTTAAGACATTATACAGACAGGCTCTGGTATCATGGCTACTCTGCAACGGAGCTCAAAAGTGTGGGATCGTTTTAAGAAAATGAAAGAGAAACCTGTGCAATATCTGCAGAGCAGATATTGCACAGCAATATCCACAGTATTGCTGTGTCCATATATCCACAATAAATATCCACAATAAATCCTTCCACAGCAATTATTTTTAGTTAGCAAATAGCTAAAATCTAAAGATATTTATAAAATAGCAGCTGCATTCTGGCACGATATGTATGTTTTATATTCCATTAACTTATGATCTGATTAGTCGACTAATCGAAAAAATAATTGGTGATTAATCGACTATAAAAATAATCGTTTGTGGCAGCCCTAAATATAATGTACATTATTTATCTGGTGCACTATAATTTGACCAGGCAAAATAACAAAAACAGCCAAAATGTGACAAGAGCAGACTAAAACCCWGCATGTAATTTTCAGCAATTATGCTTAAACGTTAGGAGTGCACCAAAAAAATYGTTTTACATCAGAATCGTGATTCTYATTTACAAAGATTCAGAATCGATTTAAAATGTCCCAAAATCGATTTTTATAAATGAAAATATAAAGCAAATCCAAGGTCTCTCAGCCTCCATTTTGTAACTACATGATGACGTCATCACACAGCTGCTTCTGGAACATAAATGTGCAGAAAGCACCAAAACAAAGAGGAAACTACAAAACTGGAGGAAAGAGAAATTCAACTGGCTGTGTCTTCATTGAATGCAAAGATTTGGGCTCATTTTGGTTTTTACTGAAAAWTGCTGCGTTCCGTTTACATCGTATTCCGGGAACTGGTAAATGGTAGTAGGGTTGGGCACAATTGGCAAAAAAATTAATCACAATTAATTGTGGTATTTAGCCGATAATGATTAATTTGACGATTAATCTCCTGGAATCCCTGGACACCCTTATGTCGTAGTCACATGACCAATTTAGTGGGAAAGATTAGCTCTTCATACAAATCTGTTCCAAGTTGTCTCAAAATTACAGACTTCAGACTATACATCACATTTTAAATTGTGTTGATAGATAAATAATTTACAGAACTTTTTTTTAAAATGTTCGTCATATTTGAAGCTGAGAGGAGCACCGAGCGAACTCTGCCTGCTGGCATCAATCATATTAATCGTCAAGTGCCAAAAAGTAATCGATTAATGTTTTTCTGACGGTTAATTGCAAACGATACGATTATGCCCAACCCTAGATGGTAGTGACGTCATTTCCCAACAAACCATATGAAACTGCATTCCAGTTAGCCAACAGGCGATTGTATTGTTGCCGCTAACCTAGCTACAACACTGCTACAATGTAAACAATGACAAAAAGAGAGCTCTGCTACATACGTCATGCAAATAAACATTGATTTTAACACGTACAGTATTGCACAGAAAACACACCACTGGTGCAAGTGATTAAACATGTACAAAAATTAAGAAATAATAATAAATAATAGTAAAAGTTATGGAGTTAACTTTCTAAAGCTGCGAGTAGCCGCCATCTTAAAATCGAAACTGGGGGCAGTTTAATTTCTTCCACTATASCAGTGRAGTATTACCACTGGAGGGGGCGTTCCAGTTTAAATCTACCAATGGGAACACGGAAATTACCACTGCCCAGGTCTACTGGAACGCAGCGTGAGTCTGAGTTTGACATGAGCGAGGTGTTCGAGGTTTGCAAAATGAAGATGAAGCACTTTGGGAACACGACAAATGGGCTCACATGATCAGTTTTGAATGAAAAATCGATTTTGAATCGAATCGTGGCCCCAAAAATCAGAATCGAATCATGAGAGATTAAAAGATTCCTACCCCTATTAAACATATATATGACATCGTAAATGTTGAAATCAGGTCAAAGTTACCTAAAGACAACAAAAGAGTTGCAGCTGTTTACTTACCTAGTTCATTCCTATTGTGTTATTGGGGAAGTTAAATTAATTGGATCAAAATATTGTGGGGRTCCTAACCCCCCTTCAAATTACGTCTATACACATGCTACGGTCAAATGAACACCGACACTAGGGAAAACATGATCACCTCTTTTGGCAGTGGACAATAATGATGACAGATGTGGTTTGTCATGGAGCTGTACAGTGTGCTGACCCACTTTGTGTGTACTCTTTAACAGGAAATGATGAGCAGGTGATTCTTCATGACGTGGAAAGGTGTGTGAAACTCACTTGACTAAAACACTTGATGGAAAGGCCAGAGTATTGGTCGTTTGGCAAACACACAAACAATGTAAGTAATGTTAGGCCTGATGTTTCCTCTTACAGACGGGAGACTCTGAACGTGTTTCTGCACATTGATGCTGTGTACAGCCTGTCTGTCAGTCCAGTCAACGACAATGTGTTTGCCAGCTCATCAGACGACGGGCGTGTTCTTATCTGGGACACTCGTGAGCAGCCACATGGAGGTGAGGACCAATAGGTTACATAACTAGATACCGCATAGCGGTAGCATATAGTTAGGTCCATATGTATTTGGACAGAGACAACATTTTTCTAATTTTGGTTCTAGACATTACCACAATGAATTTTAAACAAAACAATTCAGATGCAGTTGAACTTCAGACTTTCAGCTTTAAAGTAGGGATGCACGATAYATCGACACTAATATCGGTATCGGCCGATATTGGTCATTTTTTAGAATGTTTGTATCGGTCCGATATGTAAAACTGAGCCGATATTAACGTCCAATATTGATTTCCCACTTTTTAGCTTTAGTTTCTGTTTTGAGAGGGGAGATGGTTGGTTGAGTGGTATCTGCATATATTTAAATACTATACCATAAAGTATCTATGTCACCTTTAGTTATGTTTAAATAGAAAATAAACTTATCTTCCCATGCACGGGGGAGGGGGGGTTCACATGTGCGCTATGATGCAGTTTACTTGGCATCTGAAAATACATTTCCTCAAAGGTATTTTGAATCACTGAGCGAGAAGTAGTGTTGAGAGCAGCAGACAATTTAAGTTTCACTTTCACCCAGGAGCCATGGGTGGGGGGTGGGGAGGTGTGCTCCGTGATGAGGAAGTTCAGCTTAAAGACACGTCCCAGGGGAGTTTCTGGTCCCAAAAGGTGTTTCTGGTCCCCACCTGTCGTTTTGCTCCTCAGCATGGCTGCCTAAAAACGCTGCAGGATTTCTCAAGCATGCATGAATGAGTCAAAGCAAGGCTTTTTATTATTGTTTTTCTAGTCCATATTGCCCATCCCTACGTAGATGTGATTTATATTCACCTTCTCATTGACTGCATTTCATAGACTCTGTACATCATGGAGCCTTACGTTTTATCACTGGTTTTAGGAGATCTCTTACCTATCACTGTCTTCTGTATGCTTACATTGGATGGACTGCCATATCCACCTGCAGATTCTRTCTTTGACACAATTTAATTTGCAATGCTTTCTTGGATTTACTTCCCCCTTACTTCCTGTTCTTTGTTGTTAAGAAATCTTGTGGAAGCTATTTTCTGCGCTCAGATGAATTAATTTTATTAACTAACTTCAGTGTTTCCCCTACCATTATACAGCTCCCACTCCCCGCCAACGAGACGGCCCGCCCCTCTAAGAATTTCACGGCATGTAGTCATTTTTATTTAAGTAAGGCCAGTWCAAGTCCAGAGCTATTTTTTTGCGTCCCTCCATATCCACCTCTYGCCAAACTTGGGGAAAAAGACGGCGCAGAGCGAGGCTGAGCGCTGTGTGTGGTCCTCACAAAGATAGGAAGACGTGCGTGTGATTAGACGCGCAGCTCTGCTTTTAATCACGTAGCACCGATGCAACAGCTTTGCAAGCTACTTTTTCTTTCTTTAAAAGTAAATGTGACAGGTGAAACCACAGCATGGTTACTACCTTATCAATAATTACTGCCTTTTTTTCTTTCTCTGTGGGTGGGGGGTCAGCTTCACTCAGCTGCAGGTGAACACCTCCCATGTTTCCTGGACTATTTTCCACCGATGATTACGTCGTATTTTATATATTTTATATTTCTAGAAGCACTTCACAGCATTTCCCCCTGTGTGTTCACGTCACAAGTGCAACAAAACTGTGACCGATCAGCTGAATGTTTTTAAAGCGAGGGGCAGCGACTTTACAGCAGCTGAAGCTGTCAGTCTGCAGCGCAGCTCCGACCAGCCCGGGAGTTCATACATGTCAACCCCTTCAGACGGTTATGTGTTTAATGAACATCAAAAATTTGTAATTTGCGCAAAAAAAATCAGTATTAATCACACGGGTGGGGTGGAGGTGCGCTGACCGCAGCTGCGCGGGGTGGGAAGGAGGAGGGGGGTCTTTTAAAGACGTGTCTACATTTGACTTTTATTTTTTCTAAAATCAAAGAGTTCTGAGTCAGCTTCAGATGTTTGTAGTTAATCATAATAACTTATAAATTTAACCAGGTGTTTCAATGTCTTTAAATTACACAATAATTTTACTGGAGAAACTTATCAGTTTGGTTAAAAAAAAACAGTAAAAAAAAAAAAAAA